AAACTCCCACATGGTCGAAGCCTAACTAAACTTAAGAAGAAATATATTCGATATTTTAAGAGAATACGAGGATGGAACTAACAAAAAAGGACTCTCAGACTTATTGAGAGCTTGGAAAGGAATTAAAGAACTATCTCATACTGACCTTAAGTCCTTCTTTAATATTGCGGGTTATCATGGGTTACCCTACACAGGAAAAGTTGTGCCACAAAATAGTAAATGGTGGGGAGGTTATTGCAATCATGGCAATGTATTATTTCCTTCTTGGCACAGAGCTTATCTACATGACCTTGAAAAGGCTCTTCAAAGTATTGAAGGGTGCTCAAGTGTAACTCTTCCATTTTTGGACCAAACAAGTGCTGAAACATTGAAAAATGGCCTTCCTTGGATCTTTACATAACAAAAGGTGATCCTCGACGACGGATCAGAGATTGATAATCCTCTACTCCATTATAAACTTCAAACAGCACTAGCTGATACTGCCCTTATCGACGGGTACGATTACTCAAAGCCTGAAGGATACCAAACAGTAAGATATCCCCTTTCAGGGCTGAGTGGAACAGAGGAAGACAAGAAAAGTGCTGAAGAACATAATAAACAATTTGACTACGATAAGCAAGTGACATTACTTAATTCAAATGTAAGAAACTGGCTTACAAGTCAACAAACAGCAGTAGCAGATAAATATTACCAGTGCCTTTAAGCTCCAAATTATACTGTTTTTTCAAATACTACTTCTGCTGGCAAATGGAATAAGGACCACACAGGCGCACCATTAATTATTCCTTTAGAAAATCCTCACAATTGGATGCACTTATGTATTGGAGGATTTACCGACAGTAAAGATGGTAGTGTAAGGGACCCTATTGTTTATACAGTAGGATCTAATGGTGATATGGGAGAGAATGAGACTGCAGCATTTGACCCTATTTTCTTCTTCCATCATTGCTGGATTGATTTAGTCTTTTGGAAATGGCAATAACTCCACGGTGCAACTACCCTTTTTGATATACAATAAGGCTATCCAGGCACAAATACGAGTGACACAGGTGTCTAAGTTAACGCTGACCAAAATGAAGATGAGGAACTTAACATTGACTCTCCACTACATCCTTTCATCAATCAAGCCACTGGTGCCTTATATACTACCAGAGACGTGATAAACATTGAAAATCTCGGATATTCATTTGGCCCTAATTCCCTTGACTCATTTTAACTTCCTACAGATGATTAATAGGCCGATTCTTTGAAAGGAGCTGTTGTCCTTAAAAAGAGGCTAGAAGTCAGAGGAATCAATAGAGCTTATATCAAAGGTTCATTCATTATAGCCTAATATGAAATTATTGATGGTGAGAAGCAATACGTTGGGGCTGTGCCAATTTTGAGTAGATGGAATGTTTAAATGTGCGAAAATTGCCAATACCATCTTGATGTGCAAGCTTACTTTGAAGTCGAAAACCTTGAGGGTGTTCCTTCAGATAAAAGAGTCTTTTAAACTCAGTGTGTGACTAGATACGGTACCTAAAATCTACCTTCTGTCTTTAGGACTGAGTCATATTCATATGAAGACTATAGTTGCTAGATCTTGGACTGATCACTGACTCAACAAATATTTAAACCACAAAGGAAGCCTTTAATGAATAAAGTTCATTTTTTATTATAAAATTTATCTGCCATTCCTTTATATTTAAGGGGAAAAAATGTTTCGGGGTTTTGGGGTTTTGGGG